TGGTAGAAAATGGAGAAGACCTACAAGGTCTTTGGTTTTAAATGACCTGATATGCCTTAGTTACTAAGTGCCCAGTGTCCTGAGATGGGCCACTGAGTTCAATCATAAAAGCATAGGTAGTGGCATCTGAACTTTAATTTTCTAAGTCACACTTGGAGTCCTTTGAAAAAAAAAAAGGCTTTCAACAGAGAGATGACTCATGAGATCCTGGAGAGAGAAAGCCAAAAAGGAAAGCCAAAGGATAGGAAATTTATAAAGCTTCTGGGAAAACCTAGGTCAGAGAAAATCAGACCTGGACTCCAAGGCCTTCTTCTCTCAAATCCCACAAATCACATTTGATTTCAAAAGAAACAATGATAACTGTCTTGAGCACAAGATGGCAGTCTTACGTCTGCTTCACTCCCCATGGTTGTCTGGAGAAAAGTGATAGGAAACAGAGCAGAAACAAACCTGCTTGTGTTGCTGAGAAATATTGAAAAATAAATACTCATCAAGAAGGATAATGAGGGAAGGGAAGAGATTAAAAATAAGTGGAAAGGTTTTTTGTGTGCTATGTTTTGATTTGTTTTAAAATTTGGCTCTACTCATCTTGAGTTGCTGCTAAATACGTGTAGGCTAGGTCCCACATGCATGTTTTGGCTCTAGAGCAAAGTCCCTAGGAAAGTACAAGGGAGGTAGAAGGAGGTAGAGACCATATGTGCTGGAGAGGAGGCTGGCTTAGGGCCCTGGTTCTCAGATGAAAGGAGTCTTGGGCTAAGCTATGATGACCTCTTCTCAGTGTTCTTATGAAAATAAGAAAAGGGGAAATATCTTTTTTATACTAAGAGCTATGCCAAACTCTAGCAAGAGTTTACATGTGTTCTACTCATAGGTAGATAGTTTCTCCCTCCTCCCCCTCCCCCTTTCCTCTCCTCCCCCCTTTGAACCTCCTTCTTCTCTTCTTCTTCTTCTTCTTCTTCTTCTTCTTCTTCTTCTTCTTCTTCTTCTTCTTCTTCTTCTTCTTCCCCCCTCCCCTCCCTCTCTTCTTCTTCTTCTTCTTCTTCTTCTTCTTCTTCTTCTTCTTCTTCTTCTTCTTCTTCTTCTTCTTCTTCTTCTTCTTCTTCTTCTTCTCCTCTTTCTCCAGTAGCTACTGAAATCCAAAATGAACTACCTGGAACACCCTCATTTCTGCAAAGAAAATCATATCCAGAATGAAAAGGTGAAGGAGGAGGAAAGGCTAACTTAACAAGAAGTTCATTGGCATTCTCTAATAAGATGTCCAATGTAGCCCAGGCAGCACAGAGGTAATCTGATCCCTACAGCCAGCCCCATAACTGTGTTAACAGCCCAAAAGCAAAGGAAGCCAGCAGGCTGCTGTTTCTGGGATGAGGTAAGGTCATTCTGTGCTGCTGCATTGCTGAGGGTGGACTGGCTATAGGGAAGACTGATATAGCAGCAAGAAAGCAATCACTGGTTCAGCCTGCTTCTGCCCTCCTGGATCCTCTTTTCTGTTGGAATGCTTCCATTTTAGTTACTGATACCATTGTTCTTTATTTCTTGACTTAGTGTACTGACTAGAATCTCCAATGCAATGCTGGAGAATTGGTGAAAGTGGATACCCTTATCTCCTTACTGATATTTGGGGAAAAGCATTGCATTTTCCACATTAAGCATTATGTTAGCTGTTGTTTTTGTTTGTTTGTTTGTTTGCTTGTTTGTTTTAAGATTCTATTTATTGATCAAGGACATTCCATTTTATTTCTAATTTGCTGAGAAGTCTCAGAAGTAGATGTTGAATTTGGTTAAACTTACCTTTTTTGTGTCTTTTGAGATTGTATAATTTTTTATTTTTAGTTTATAAATATGGTAAATTAAATTGATTGATTTTCAAATATTAAAGTAAAATAGCATTCTTGGGATAAACCTCATTTGATTATGGTGTTTTTTAATGCCTGATGTTTTGTTGGAAATCATTTGTTTAGAATTTTAGCATTATGAGGGGTACTGCTTTGTTGTTTGATTCTCTTGTAATGTCTTGGTATGATTTTGGAATCAAGGCAATGATGGCCTCATAGAATGAGTTAGAAAGTGTTTCTGTCTCTTTATTTTTCTGATAATAATCTGGTACTATTCATTTTCTGGTATTATTTTTCCTTAAGTTTTTTGTAGAATTCACCAGTGAATCCATTGGGGACTGGAGTTTTCTTTATGGGAACGGTTTTTGTTATTAATCCTCACTGGAGGATATTTTTTCCATTTACTTTAGAGAGAGTGGGAGAGAGGAGGAAGAGGAGATAGGAGAGAGAGAAACACTGATGTGAGAGAGCCACATCAATTGATTGCCTCCTGCATGAGCGCCAACCAATGGCAGGGAACCTGCAACCCAGTTCTGTGCTCTTGACTGGAATCAAACCCACGACCCTTGGGTTCATGGGCTGATACTCCAACCATTTAGCAATGCCAGCCAGGGCTAGGGAAAGGCTTTTAACTAATAATTCAATTTCTGAAATAGATATGGAACTATTCAGGCTATTTCTTCTATAGTGATCTTTTAAGCTTGTTATCTCTCAAGGAATGTGTTCATTTCATTTAAGTTGTCAAATTTATAATATTACCTTATTATTTATTCAATATCCATAGGTTCTCTAGTGTTTTCATTGCTGTCATTCCTGTTATTGATAATTTGTGTCTTTCCTTATTCATTCCTGGTCAGTCTGGGTAAAGTTTTATTAAATTCATTTGTCTTTCAGAGAATCAGCTTTTGGCTTCATTGATGGTCTCTCTTGCTTTTCTGTTTTCTATTGCATTGTTTTCTACTCTTATCTTCATTATTTCCTCTCTCCTGTTTACTTTGTGTTTAATTTGCTCTCTGTTTTCCAGTTTCTTAAGGTGGAAGCTGAGGTCACTGGTTATAGACATTTTTCTTTTCTAACACAGGTATTTGAGTTATAAAATTCCTCCTATAAATTTTAAGATGCTTTAGTAGTATCCCAAAAATTCTTTAAAAATGTTTAATGTCTTTTTTCCCCCCAGCTTTATTGAGATACAATTGACATACAAGTATACATTGTGCTGTGTAGTGTTCTTTAATTTCTCTTTTGAATTTTGCTTTAACCCTGTTCCCTTTAATCCTCTTGGGATTGATGATTTGGTTGGAAGTAAATCTATTCCCTGTCACTCCATCTTAGAAGCAGAAGCTGGCAGTGCCTTTGTTTTCACAACCCAGCACTGGATGTTAAAATCTATGTATGGGCTTATTACAAGCAATACCAATAAAATGGTATAACATAGAAAATAAAAATTAGTGTATTTCATGTACTAAGAGTAAGTTTTGTGTTGTGAAACTTCTTTTAAGTTATATGTGCATATGTATGTGTGCCTGGGATTGTGATATGAAAGGAATTTTATGCTGTGGATCATGATTTAAAAAAAAGCTTGAGAAATGTTGTCCTAGACACAGCATGGTCCAGTACAGGCAAGGGTCGCAACACTCAGTCTCCACCTTTGCCGTGAAGAGTTCATGTGATCTGGGGGAAATTATTTCTATTCAGTTTTGTCCATCTGAAAAATGTTCATCATCTCCTGTCTGAGAATTCCTGACATCTCTGTGCAATATCTCGTAGTTCTTAGAATTGAGTTAGATCGATCATTTTATCAGTCAAGAAACGTTTATTGATTGCCAAGTGTGTTTTCGGCACTGTGCATGCTAATCTTGAGTTACCAGCATGAATAAGAGGGAGGCCCTCGCTGGCCCAGTACTAGACTATACCTGGCTACCAGAGGAAGCAGGAAGTAAGGCTTTAAGAAGTGCAATGCAGACTCTCAGCACAGGGAGGATTCAGATATTGTGGAGGTGAGAGGGAGGGTGTCCAGAGGGAATGAATTGTTCAGAGGGACTTGTAATGTTAGAGGTTAGGAAGGTGAGAGTGAAGAGGGCCTGTTTGAGAAATCTCAATGCTAGTTTGTTTCATTTCATTCATTACACACACACACACACACACACACACACACACACACACACATTTTAATACTATGTCCTTGAGATATAGCAAAGAACAAAAGTACCCCTGCCTTTAAGGAGTGTGCATTCCACTAGGAGAAATATAGTAAACATTACATATAATAAGTAAGTAAATGATCTGTTAAAAATGGTAAGGACTATGGAAAAAACTGAGCAGGTGAAGGGTAATTAGAAGTGGGTCTGCCAGTTCTAATTTTATGTGGGAGATATTCGATGGAGGTATATTTAGAATCTAACAGTAGTATATATTATAATACAAATTCTAAAAATATTCTAACATAATTAGAATCTTTATGTTGTATTGACACTTTGTGGCCAGTAGGACGCAAAGGGCCATTTCTGAGAAAAGTGGGGTGAGATGGGGTTGTGAGAGAGAGATGTGGGTAATTATGCACACGCCCTCCCCCCAGGTGTCCTGTAGGGGCAGCTCCATTAAGGACATCGGCAAGACAGGCAGAAGAGCGTTACTGTGTGACCTGGACCAAGACATTTTTGCCCTTTGCTTTCCCTCCTTGGCATGTCCTCACCCAGCAGGAGTTGGCGGCCGAGCAGAGAAGTGAACTTCAGCCTGGCCTTTCAGCACCCAATGGGTGTCACAATCCAGTGATGGTGGAGAGAGACAGACCTGCTGGCCTTTTCTTCCGGCCCTGCATCAAGATTGTGTGTGTGTGTGTGTGTGTGTGTGTGCGCGCGCGCGCACGCTCTGCAAGGATTCCTGTGGTTACACTCATCGCTGGGGATCTGTATAAAAGCCCCACTAGATGCTTTCTGTTCCTTTGTAATATTTAAAACGTCATGGAGATTAAAGCATTTACCTGGACGTTCGGATATTTCGATTTCCCCACCTAGCCTCTGTGGGCAGATGGGTGATCGTTCTTATCGTCTGGCGCGGTGAGCTGCCCGCCTTTCACTCAGCTGGACAAGGGCGCGCAAGCGTCGGGGGTTCCGCAGGTTGCGCATCTGGCGCCTGGGCCTGCCCGGAGCAGTGCCCGCCTAGGCCTTGGCCCTTGGTTTGTGCTCTCCAGCCTGCTGGGCGCTCTCTCCCCGCGCGGGGGCACCAGAGCCCTCGGAAGTGTCTGGCACTGCGGTGCCTTTTCCCAGTTCCTTTTAAATGACTGCGGAAAAACAGCCTCTCTGAGCCGCAAATGGGAAGACGGATTCACAGACCAGGCTTGCAAATGCCCCACAGCTATCGCAGCCATCATCTAACTGAGCCCACAGAGCCGTTATGGTTTGTCACCCGGCCCTCCCGGATCGCTTATTTGTCTCTAGTGAGACCCTGAGGCTTTGGTCCTACCCGGCTTCTTGGTAGCTGGATGCCTGTCGTGCTCTCGGTAGCGCGGGCGCGGGGCACGCGTTTGCGCACACTCGCGCTCCTAGGAAAACGCACAAGGTACGGCAGGGGAGCAAGGGCTTTGGGTGCCCCGAGTCGGGGTGGGCATCGCGGGGAGTGAGGTTACGATCTGGGAAGGGTTGCATCCTGCCAGGTTGACGGGTGAGAGAAAATGAAGCGGCGCCACACATCGGACAGGCCAGGGTTGCTGCCGCGCATTTAGGGAACCCAATACGAGTCAGGCGCGCTCCCTTCCCCTCACATGTCTCTATTTCCCGGGAGTGTGATGCCAGAAAACCGCAGGAAAAAGACCCACTTAGAGAGCTAGAGTTGCGTTTGGAGATTCCCTTCCCTCTACAAAAGCACCAACAGGAAGACCCTCCCAAACCACCAGGGTTTCCAAATCGATGTCCCCGAACGGGGGCGGTCATCCTTGGTTACCGATGCTGAACACGTTTTGGTGTTTACAATATTTATTTATTTTTTAAAACTAGCTCGCCCTCCCTTTTAGGCAGGGTGGGAAAGGAGAACGCAGCGGGGAGGGAAGACTCCTGGAATAAGAATCAGCGTATTTTTCAGAGCTGAACCGAACCGGGTTTCAACCATTTCAAAAAAGGAGACAGCCTCTACCGCAATTGTCGAAGAGACCGCGGTGTGAATTAGGAACTGGGAGGCGTCGAGCGGCGGAACGGTCCATCTCAGAGGTACCAGGATCTAAATGCGCGCACATACACGCACACACACGCTCACACGGAAACACACACCCACACCCGCACCCACACCCACACACACACACACGCACGCACGCGCGCACGCGTCTACACAGCCTGGATGTGTGCGTGTGCGCGTCTGTGCGCGTGTGTGAACTCCCACATGCTGCTGCTGTCTGCTTCTGGCCAGTGGCACCGATGCCTCCCTCCTCCCCGCTCGCCCCCAGATTCCCCTCCCCTCCTTGTTGCTTTTGTCTGGAGGGTATTATGGGTTTGTGTGTGTGTGAGCGTGTGTGTTTTTGGATTTCAGACTAATTTTCTGGAGTTTCTGCCCCTGCTCTGCGTCAGCCCTCACGTCACTTCGCCAGCAGTAGCAGAGGCGGAGGCAGCAGCGGCGGCGGCGGTGGCTCCCGGAATTGGGTTGGAGCAGGAGTCTCGCTCGCTCCTTCGCTTGCGCTCTCTGCGCTCAGTGCTCGGCGGCAGGAGGAGCCTGGA